CTTAACATTGTTAAATATTCTATTGACCAATTTTTCCAAAACTTATTTATAATTATATTATGTTTTTTCCACTCCTTTAACAATTTTTCAGCTGAGTCTGCATTTTGTGGTAAATAATCTTCATCAGCATCATTGATTATGGGTGGGAATCCTTGTTGCGCAAAAGGGTAGGTAAAGTCAATTGGTCTAAGAGCCATGATTCCTTGTTCGTCGTCTATTTGTACTAATGGTCGGCAATTAATTATAGCTTCTACTTCACATATGATTGTTTCGAAGTCTTCGTGATTTAGTATTTTTCTACCTATTGTTTTTCGAATATTGTTTTTTATCATCCCGTTAATCCGTTCATATACACCTCCCTGCCAAGGGGCAAGCGGGGTTATAAATTGCCAATTTATATTCTCTTTAGCAAAATATTGTTGGAGTCCGTCATCTATTATTTGATCCGGTTTAATCCTTTTTAGTGTTTTTTCGGCTAATACAAAGCTAGCTCCATTATCGGAAAGAATGTACTCTGGCCTGGTCCTTCTAGCGACAAATTTCCTAAAGGCATTCAAAAAGGCGTGAGTACTGATGCTAGTTACTAACTCAAGGTGTATCGTTCGAGTTGACAGACAGGTTAGTAATAATATCCATCTTTTGCTCGTTTCTTCGGTTATATCTTTTACAGGAATTGGTCCCATGAAGTCTAGTCCCGTGTTTTGGAACACTCGAGAGGGAGTGACTCGTGTTTCTGGGAGAGACGGCATCTGTGTCAGTGGGTAAGGTTTTAGTTTCCGACAATTTTCCAAACATTCTTTTAATGTATTTTTGACCAACTGTCTACATTTGGGTATATAATATGTTAATTTCAAATGAGCAAGTGTTGACTGAATTCCTGAATGTTGCCTTGCTTTGTGTGTATATAATATTAGGAGTCTCGTTAGCGCATCCTTTCTAGGCAGGTATACCGGGTTTGCGAATTCGTAACCATTAGGTAGATTCTGCAGTCGTGTTTTACACCTTAGAACGTTATTTTCATCAGAAAATAAGTTTAATGTTTCTATTTGATCTTTAGAAATATTTTCTCTTAATTGTGCCTGTTTTATCAACATTATTTTTGCAATTTTAATATCTGCTGCCGTGAAGTTTCCTTTTTTATTGATTTTATGAAACCAAACTCTTTTGTTATTTTTTAGTTTAGAGAGAATATAAATATTCAAAAATCTAAGTATGAACATAGTGGTATGAATCAATTTCCACCAGGAACTGAATTTTTCAACCTTTGGTATTAAGTTTATGTTTTTCTGTTCTGCTGTGATTTCGTAACAAGGGACTGACAATTTAGGTTGTTCGTTAATGTTATAAACTAGTGTATTCGGCCATTCTGTTTCATTTCCTAACCAATCTGGTCCCTTCCACCATAGCACATTTTTTGCTAATTCTGGACCATTAATTCCTTTACTAGCTATATCCGCTGGATTATCCATAGTTCCAACATGCCTATATTCGATTTCTTTATTTTTCCTAATTTCTACTAGCCTATTATTTATGAATGTTTCTTTATGTTTAATATTCTTTATCCATGAGATTGCTATGATTGAATCACTCCAGAGGATAGTTTTATCGATGGGCCGCTTTAATTCCTTTATGATAAATGAGATTGTTCTAGTACCTATTAATATAGCCAATAATTCGAGTCTGGGGATTGTGAGAGTATTTTCTTTCTTTTTTGGCACAATTCTGTTTTTTGCAAAAATTAAATTGGTATTAGTTTGATGTGAACATTCTACTCTTAAATAAACATTGGAGGCATATGCTTTTTTGGAGGAATCTACAAAACAATGAATTTGAAATTTTTCTTGCTCCTCACAACCATGTATTAATTTTCTCGGCCTAATAAATTCTTGCTCTCCCCAATCTTCGATAATTCTATTTATTTCCTCCAACTCATCTTCTTCTAGAGGACCATTCCAATCTATATTACGATTACATACTTTTTGATATAAAAGCTTGGCTGGTAGTAGTGTTGGTCCAATAAGGCCTAGTGGGTCAAAATTTGAGTGTATGAGTGACAAAAGTTCCCTTTTATTCATTGAACTATATGACTTTCCAGGTAGTTTTTGTGAGTATTTATCCTTTTCAATCTGCCAATTAATACCTAAGAATTTAATATTTCCCTTTTCTATTCCTGGGTGTTTATCAGCTTCTTCGAATAATTGATTATATTCCCTAGGGCTCGTGCAAAATTCTCGAATTTTCATGCTTGCTTTTTCAAAAATCTTTATCATTTCTAAATATTTTTCTTTAACTTCTCTTTCGTTTTTTGCGCCTAATATTATATTATCCATGTAAAGATTACTTTTAATTTCTTCTGAAAGTGGGTGATCGATTGTTTCTAAGTGGTGTAAGATTGTAGCAATAAGCAGAAAGGGGCTGGAGATGACGCCAAAAAGTACCCTAGTAAATCTATAGCAAACAAGATTTTGATTCTCTGGCGGAAGTTGAATGTCTTTGAGCCAAAGAAAGCGTGTGACGTCTCTATCCTGTGTTCTTAGTTGTATTTGTAGAAAGGCTTTAGCGATGTCCGCAATTACCAAGTGGTTAAATAAGAAGGTTCTAATAATTATTCCAGGCAATTGTGGTAAGAGAACTGCTCCTCGTAGGAGTTCATTATTGAGGGGGGTTTTCCCTGAGCCTGCGTCGAAAACAACTCTCAATTTAGTAAATGACGAGGAACTTTTAAAAACCGGTTGATGAGGTAAATAATGAATAATTTCCTGTGTGCTTCTAGGTGCAATTTCAATCATCTTTAATTCAAGTTGTTCTTTCATAATTTTGTCTATCGATTCTAATACACCGGGTATTTTTTGATATTTTCTCCATAGGGACTTGAGCCTACCAAAAGTTACTCCAAAATTTGAGTTTAATGTTTTCTTCGACTCTAATCTCCAGGGCCATCCTACTTCATATCTACCATCTGATAACTGTTTTATAGTTTCATTGAATTGTATCCAAGCTTGTTCATCATCGATTGTTTCCAAACCTGGTTCTCTTATCCCTATTGTTTCTAAATTCCAAAAATCTTTCTCCTCTATTCTTTCGACAGCTTCACTTTCTACACTCATAATATACTGGGTTTCATTTTCTGGCTCAGTTTCTTTAATTTTAGCTCTACCACAAACAATAGGTCCTATTTTAGTTCGAAGTAAGAATCGTTGTCCTTCTAATTTCTCTATACTTTCTATAATATTTAAAACATCTGTGAGTCCAAGTAAAATATCGGGTGAACGTTTTTTAACATCAATTTCTCCTTTTTCATACAGCCAAAAATCTCTCGGGCTACAAGGATAGTAAATATTCATCTGCTCTAGATTGGGGGTTGTATATCCTTCAATAGTAATTTTCGACCCAATTTTTAGCTTCAATTCAAATTTGACTTTATGGGATGTAAATCGCGACTTCCTACCTCCATAACCATCTACCTCGAGCTCGGTCATCGGACTGGTATGCGAATCAAATATTCCTAATTTTCTGGCAAATTTTTCGCTTATTAAGGTACATGTTGCTCCTGGGTCCATGAGAGTGAATCCGCGTATTATTTCTTTGTTATCTGTAAAATATTCAGCATTTTTTGATATAAGTAGCGATTTTATTCTATCACTTTTAATAGCCACTGTATTAATTTCTTGAATGCTCGTCTGGTCAGAAAAATAAGAGCTTAATTCTGCTACATCAGTTAAACACCGAACATCTTCATCGGAAAACCCAGGGTCATTGCTAGTTTTTTTATTATCCCTTTCACTTATATTATTTACATTCTCCTTTTTATTTAAGCCTCTGGAACAGATAGCCAAATAGTGTGGTTGTCCGCAATTCTTACATCGAATTTTATCATTTTGACAGAATTTAGCTATATGACCCCTTTCAAAACATTTTATACATTTACGCATTTCTTTCAAGCGCTGGATTCTTGCTTCCGCATTTTGATATTTTTTGCATTGCATAGAACTATGATTATGTATTTCACAGAACGCACATGGTCGTTTTTCTTTCTGCCTATCATTGGGATATTGCTTTATCTCTGTTCTCTTATCTCTCCAATCTGAATTCTTATTTGCTTCAGCATTCTGTGCAAATATATGGTGATTTTGTCTAGGTGGTGGCCTACGGTATGTGGAAGAGCTCTGGAAATTATTCTGCCCACTCTGTCCATATACCGCTTCTTTAATTCTTAAGCTTTTATTGATAGCCTCAAGTAAACACTCGACTGTCCATTTGGGATTCTTGCTCTGTTCTTCAAGTATGGTACAGCTAACCCAGCCACCAAACTTGTTTTCTATCTGCTGAATTAATGCACCGTTATCTATTTGTTCGCCCAGTGCCTTAAGTTGTTGAGTGATCCTATTTATGCTTATCCAATTTTTTCTAACATCCTCTAATTTAATGGCGCGGGGGCAGAGTTTGTCTAGTTCACTATACAACGACCTCCTGACGGTTTGTGGTTCACCAAATCTTTTTTTGAGATGTTCTACGACCAATGGGTAATTTATGGCAATAACAGGAAACCCAGAAACTTCATTATAAGGGTGTGGGCGAGTCAGTGAGGCCATTAAATATGTCAATTTTTCACAGTCATCTAAATTATTGTTTCTATCAATTGCGACTTCAAAAAGGCTCCAGAAATTGGCCCATTCTGCTACCTTTCCATTAAAGGTGGGGAGACTACAGATCGGGAGTCTGATCGATGAAGATGGGGTCTGCGTTGCTGTCATATTGAACGAATTATTTATTGGAGCAGAAATATCAATTAACTTAGCCTCAATTTCACAACTTAAATCACGAGCAATATCAAGCAAGGCAATAAATCCACTTTCCCCTTCTGCATGAGAGTTATAGTCTTTCAACATTTCCTCTCGTTTGTCTGCTGCCTCAAGACTAATAAGTTTCGCCCACTCTGAATTCAATTGCTCCAAAACATCTACTGACTTTGACAGCTTTAGCTGACTCGCTCTGAGATTAATGATGGATTCCGCCGTGAGTTCTGCCGAAAACAAGTCTTTAGCAGTATTTATATATCCTAAGGTCCTTTTTCTCAGTGGACCTAAGCGCATTTTAAGAGGACCGGCATATACCTTAGAGGTCATTTTCTATGTTTTATTTTATCTCTAAGTCTTTATTGTACTCTAATTTCTCAAGATTTTCTTTTCTTTGTATGTTTATATTGCTTTTTAAAGGAGGATTTCCTCAATCGATTGTTTGTTTATTTTTCACAGAAGGCAATGGTTGTATATGAAAAATGTTTATTTTGTTTTTAAAATTTTACAATTGAAGAAAAAATTCTTGATTTTTTAGAAAAAATTTAAAGCAATCGAATTAAAAGCGTTTAAATTAATTAAGTAAATTTTTTAATTATTTTCTTTTTCTTTAATAATATTTCCCAATTTTTCAAATAATTGGCCTGCTGCTCGGAACGTGCTGCCAAGATCTCGGTACACGTCTGCCAAACGTATATTTTTTCGGGTAGCTTCTCCTATGGCCTTCGCTTCGGTTATTTGTTTTTCTTCCAATTTCTTTTTGGCCTCTGTCTCGTCGTTTGCCTGAATTTGTTTTTTTGAGAAAATTACTGGTAAATTTAAAATCCTTTGTAAGAAATTTAGATTTACTTTTATTGGCTGAGCTTTGGTTGGTGGAGTATTTCTGACAGGGCACCTCACTGGCGTTCGATGATAGACTCTGGTTGGTACAACTGCTGCTTCCTTGCTCAAGGTGTGATCCTCCTTGAAAGATTAAGGTTTCGAAAATTTTTCTTTTTAAAAATTCAGAAGTTTTTTTGTGTTGATAATTAACTATTTGTGAGTCTACCTTCTTTTTGTAGTTGTTTGGTTCAACTTTGGTGGTCCGGATTGGAGTAGGAGGCGAACAGGCCCTACGAGGTGTAGCAGGTTGTTTTAATTTGGGAGAGCTCTTTCTGAATAAAAATAATGGACTGATTGCTCTCTTTATTACGAACCTCTTTAATGGAGGTTCTTCGTCTGTTGAGTTTTCCGAGATTGTAGGAAGGATTTCCTTACTGTTGTAATTCCTTTTGTTGTTTTTAGCTGGAGTTTTTAGCCTTCTTTTTTAATTTTAACTTCAGCTGGGGAAGTTGTTGCTTTTAATGTTGAACAAGCCAGACAAGTACAATTTGAAGATTCTTTGTGTTGAATTCTAATTGCGTTCAGAATTTGCTGAAGAACGTCCGGGTTGATTTGGTCCGACACTGTAAAAAATGTGAAAATTATTAGAAATTTTCAATTGTTGTTGGCCTCTCCCGGAGCACCACTTTGTTAAGGATAAGCTTAGACTTACTTCTTAACAATCAAAGAATTAAAGAAGAATAAATATTAAAAATATTTATTTAAATAAAATTAAATTTACAATAAGTAGTTGAATTAATGAACGATTGGACGTTCGGAAATTGATGATTGAACAAATGAATGTTATTGTTTGGCATTAGGGCTTGGCTTTTATAGTGTTCCTAAGGGGAGGATATTAGTGAAATGCACGTGAATAGAAAAGAGAAGAAGAGAGAATATTACAATAATAGGTTCAAAGAGTGAGAAAAGGGATTTTATGGGAAAAAGATATTGCAAGGATTTCTGTCCTTGACAAGAGGAAAAATAGAAATTTAATAATAAAATGAATTTTAAATACCTAATTTTAAATAATTTCGTATTTTATACGACAAAAACATCTACATAGCGTTTCTTCTCTTACCTCTTTTGTGACATTAGAAGATGTCGAATTTACAAGCGGAATTAATCTTTTAATAAACTCATTTACAGATTCCCCTTTCCTCTGATAACAGGCAGCTAATTTCTTATATGCTAGTTCACGGATATGCGGGCTATCTAGTTTGGCTCTAATACTAATTAAGGCATTTTGCAATGTATTTTTCCCCGAAGGTGCTAGGTTTTCATAAATATTTCTTGCTGTCTTACCTAGGTAAAGTTTTAATCTATTTAATTTTTCAACCTCAGTCCAATTTGTACCAAATACCTCTACATAATCCATAAACCTTATTGACCATTCATCAAAAGCCGTTGCATCTTCGCCATCACAGTTATGTAGTTGAGGACCAACTGATTCAATTTCAGTCAAAATATTTAAATAAAGATTCTTAGTGTTGTTTGAAGACATTTTTGTTTGTAGATGTGTTCTTGCCGAAGCGTGAGCGTATCTCAGTAACTATTTATGTGGTTGTTTTTTAAAGTTCTATTTGTCAAACAATACAGAGTAGAAGATGTGTAGGTGCCTGAAATTCTCAAAATATTAGATTATGTTATATATTATTATTTGTGAAAATTTGAAACAATTTTGTTCAATTTTAACTACCTCTACCAAAGTTCCGGCTTGCCAAAGCAAAATATAAAAATGCACAGATACCACAAGCGCACAACTATACATAGATCGATGTAGGTCAGAAGCACAGCAAAATTCAGTCTTGCCAAAGCAACTAATAAGTGTTGTCCAGAACAAACAAATATAATAGTTAACTTTGTTTTTGATATATATTAGTTGTAAAAAAATTAAGATTTTAAAATTAATTTAAATAAAATACTAAAATAATATTAAAAGTAAAAAGTGAAATTTGTAATATCTAGATAATAAATAAACAACTATTAATTAGAAAAATAAATTAAGAAATAAAATAGTTTTCTCTGGAAAAATAATAATTTAATAAAAATAACTTTTCCTTTGCAAAGACTAAATATAATTTAAGAGATGACACATTAACGCTTTTCTTTTAATTTAAAAAAAAATTCCCAAGCTATTTTTTTTAAGAGAGAAGAATTTAAGAGAGAATATAAACGGAAGATAGAAGAAAGGACAAAGTTGCTAGAAGTTTAAGAAAAAGTGCGGAATTGCCTAGGCAAAATAAAAATTTTCCTTTATAACTAATGTGTAATAGCTGGGAAGCAATTTTGCAAGAAGGAAAAATGAAAGAAATTTATCTATATAGAGAATTATTGGTCGTGCGCAATTGACTTTTGCGTTTTAAATTTGAGAATTTTAAAGACCTATTAAGAATCATCTATACTTTATAATACCTATTTTTAAGATTTTGTCTTCCCAAAGGAAAAATAAAATTACTTTTTAGAAAAAAATCCTTAGGGAAAAATAAAGGAATTAATCTACAAAAAATATATATATACTTTAAAAAAATACGGAATTTAATGTAAAAAATAGACTTAAATCAAAAATAAACTATAAAGACTCCAACAACTTTTCCTAAAAAAATAGTCATTCTTAATCGTATAAGATATTCAGAAAAGAATAAAAAATTTCTTTGTAAATTTTAGAATTTCCCAAAAAGATTAGTATTTTAATTTTAAAAAAAATTTACCCTTGCCTAGGCTGTTCAGAATTAAATAAAAAATTTTTGTTGATTTCTTCAAATGTATTGAATTTGTGATATATTTTGTTGTATTAATTTTGAAGTTTTGATTGCCACATAGTTAAGTAAATAGGTTCATAGCTGTAAGAAGCACAGATAACTCCACTCGCAAAATTTTTCTTGCCAAAGCAACTTGTAATAGTGCACAGATACCAGAAGCGTAGATCACTGAAAATCTCTAAAAATTAGATTGTTTTTTAAATTATTATTTTTAAAAATTTGATAATCATTTTTTTAAATTTAAACTACCTCCCCCAAAATTCAGACTTGCCAGAGCAGAGTATAAGATTTTCAGATACCAGTAGTGAAGATCCTTCAAAAAAAATTTTTTTAATGCCTTTCTAAAAAAATGATGCTGTCTTGCCGAAGCAAATGTATTTTTGTCCAATTGGTAGAAATTGAATTTGTTGTCTGTTGTATATTTGGTTGTTGCAAATTAAGTTTTTATTCTGGAATATTTAAAAGTAAAAAAAATATATAGTCAGAAATACCTAGGTAATAAGATCTTAAAAATATTGTCCAGAATATATAAAAATTAAACCTATATTAGCTGAAAATATTAATATAAAAATAAAATATAGAAAAATTTAGAAGGAATAAAATTAGCAAAAGAGATGATACATTGCCCCTTTTGTTGTAAATTGAAAGAAAAAATTCCCATGCCTTTTTCTTCTTCAAGTAATAAAGAATAAACGAGGAGGATATGAGCGGAAGAAAATAGAAGAGAAGACAAAGTTCTATCAAGCGGACTTGCCTAGGCAAAATAATTTTTCTGTTTTCTTTTTTGTGTAATCTCTGAGAAAATAATTTTAACTATGAACAAATGATGGAAAGTTAATCATATAGAAAATATTAGTTGTGCGCCATTCACAATTGCGTTTTAAATTAGACTCAGAGACTATTCAATTTTTGTACTTCGGTAATTCCATTTTTATCATTTTGTCTTCCCGAAGGAAAATTTTACATTTAAAAAAATTCTTATATAAAAAGTAGACCAATTTTATTTTCTATACTTCGGTATTTAAATTTAATTTATAGATTTAGTCTTCCCGAAGGATTAATTAATTAAAAACTTTTCATATTTAATTTATACCAATTTCATTGTTTAGGAATCAATGCGCAAAGAATGGGGAAAAGGACGGAGAGGGAATGGGAGAAGGAAAATATTTTTTTATCTAGCGCTTCTCTTTTTAATAGGGCTTTTTATTCATTTATCGGGCTTACTTATATTTATTTATTTAGGCATTTTCTAATTGGGCTTTTTATTATCCGGGCTTTCTATTATTTATTTTCTAAAAATTTGGGCTTTATAATTTATTTTCTTAATATTTGGGCTTTCTAAATTTTTCTGAATATTAACTTTTTATAATGGGTATTACTTCTATTTAATCTATATTAGATAATTATTAGCCCTTTATTAAATAGCCCAATCATTTTTAGCCCTTAATTTATTTAGCCCTTAATTTTGCCCGTCGATTTATATAGCGCTTTTATTTAATGCCCAGTATTTTCTTATGCCTTTATTTTAATTTTATTTTAGCCGATTATCTTTTCCTAATTTATTTTTAACCTCCGGAGGGTTCTGACTTGCCGAAGCATGCGCGCAGAGAGTTAGCCTATCGCATTCTACCCAGCTCTTAATCTTACCGGCCGCCCAGGCCAATGGAAAGTCGCAAAATGCGAACCATCCGGTGCTACCAGAAACACAGCACGCCAATTGGAGCGTGCTGGTTAAGGCCTTTCCATTTGGGGTATTTAGTAAGACTTAAGTCCGGGATACCTTTCACCTTAATCGTACAAACTCTGAGGGTTGATCAGGACATCAGGCTTGCCGAAGCATGATATTACCGCTCAGTTCTATAAGCGCATTTATTCACATAGGAAATACATTACATTAATGATGGAAATAATATAAATGTTAGGCCTAACTCTATCTAATGGGAAGAAAGGAAATCGTTATATAATGAATATTAATGGGCGGATAAATAATATACATTAACTATTACAAATATGATTACTGGGAAAATAATAATAGCGGAAGTATGAAACAAAGTGCTCTTTAGCCTTTGGTTCTAAGTCCACCTTACAATGATTACAGGGTGCGCCATAAGTAACCGGACACTTTTAAATTCCTTATAACTTTTTTTGTTGTCAATATTTTTAATTGATTTTAGGCTTATTTTTTAGCTCATTCAATTCTCTATTATGGCTAGTCAACGTGATTCTATAATCTCACTTTTTTTACAAAAAAATTCAGTCCGCAAAATTTCATCTCTTTTGAATGCCCCATATAGCACTGTACAATACACAATCAAAAAATTCTGGTGAAAATTTTTTGGGAGAAAAATTTTTTAAAATTAATTTGATAATCATAGCACAACTAAGAACTTACAAAAAAGTAAAAGACCTCGTTCCGTAAACACTTCCAAGAATATTAAAATGATCAAAAACTGGGTGCACCTCAATTATCGACCCTCCGTAAGAAAAGTGGCTCGTGACACCGGAATAAGTGAGAGGACCGTCAGACGAATAGCTAAAAATAAACTAGGGTTAATACCCTACAAAATCCAAAAAGCACAACTGCTAACAAAAAAAACCAAAAAAGTTAGACTTGCAAGATACAAACTGCTCCTACAGTGGCACGCATGTCCGGACATTCTTTTAACAGACAAAAAAATTTTTACAATAAAATCCGTTCACAACCATCAAAATGATAGAATTAGGACTACAGAATCTGCTCTTTCCGATAAGCTTATCACACATTCCAAACATCCCCAATCTGTCAAGGTTTGGGCCGGTATTTGTGCGTCAGGCAAAAACCCCTTATTTTCGTGGATTTTGGTGTAAAAGTCAACAAAGACTATTACTTGCGAGAATTTTTTAGCGTGTTCTGAAGCCTCGGTTCAAGAGCCATTTCGATCGCAGATTCTGGATTTTCCAACAGGACTCTGCTCCGGCACACAAGGCGAAAGAAGTTCAGGACTGGTGCAAGGCCAATTTTCCTGGGTTCATTAGCGTTCAGTAATGGCCGTCCTACTCCCCGAATCTAAACCCGATGGATAATTCTTTTTGGTCTATTTTGGAGTCCAGGGCCTGTGCTATGCCTCATAAAAGTTTGGGGTTTCTGCGTCACTCTCTCACCCGAGGGTGGGACTTAATTACACTCAAGGAGGTGCGTGCTATTTGCGAAAATTTTTCTTCGCGCCTTCGCCTCTGTATCAAAGCCAAGGGTGGGCATCTCGAATTTTCTTAATTATTATTGTTCCTTATTTAATTCTCTATCATCTGATTGTATTTCGATTTTATTTGATTGTGTTTTAATAAAGTTATGAGAGAAAACAAGTGTCCGGTTACTTATGGCGCACCCTGTATTGTGAAGATACAAGTAATAATGAGCGCTTAGATCATCTTATAAAGGTTCAATAAAAATTGTTATAAATTAGCTTTTAATTAATTAAGAAAAAAATTACAAAAATTTTAATGTAACAATTTTATTACGAGAAACTAACTCAAGAGAACTAATATTAATTAAAATGTTTTGAGGGTATTACTTAAGATACCGTATTTCTCAAATAGTAATGCCCCTCTATTATACCGCCTTACCCCCATAGAAAAATTATAAAAAATAGCACAAAATCTGCTCTTTGAATTATAGTATTTATTAGACGAATATTTAGGTAATTTCATAAGTTCTAATATCCTAAGGAATAGAAATTTAGTGATTAATGGGATATCGGCGGATTAAGTGTGATTTTGGTTAATTTGAAAGGAGATCGATGGATTTAAATGATTAATTACTAATGAAATTAAAATGATTAGTTGGGATCAAGGTGTATATTTTTTGCACAATCCCGATACTGAATTAGTTTCTTTATTCTAAAATCACAATAATAACTATTTGACGATTAATTAAGAATTACAAAATGAATGTATTTATATAAATAATCACAAAAATTTTAGGCGTGCGTACAAGTTGATCTAAATGATCGTCCATCTATGAATGCTATTGTTAGTTTTTTGAAAAACGAATGCGACTATTTTTATTACGAACGTCGTCGTGCTAGAAGTAGTCGAGCACGATTGTGCGAAGATTGATTATGCTGAAAATGAATTGAAGAAAATCTAGTGTTATCCGGGCTTTTATTTCCTATTTGGGTATATTAAAAATTAGAGACGTTAAAGATCTTGGTTGACTATTGGTTTTCTTTCATATCTTCGAAATTGGTTAAGGGTTTCGACTTTTTCAAGCTTTTACAAATCCTCTAAATGATAAAAATAAAGAATTGAATTTTACCTAAAACTCGCTTAAATAAATACCAAAAATTTGATATAGTAATGAGGTTTCGTTAATTTTGAATTTTTGGGACTTTCCCATCAAGGTATAAAATATCTTAACTATGGAAAAAACAAAATTCGTTCTTTAAATGAAATTTTCTATTATTCCTGGGAATTTTTTTTCTTTGACGTTTCTATTAACCTCAATCCTATTATTTAAATATAAACAAAGTTATGGTTCCCTTAAACTTTTTTTAAAAATTATTTAAAATTCACCGTGGGCTAAATGTTTTTTATTATTTGGCGACTTTAGTTACCACTTTTTGGTTTTGATTTGTTATTTTGGTACTTTATGTTTATATGTACTGCCCTCATTCCTATTTGAGTATGAGTTTAATTTGAGTATGAGTTTATCCCTTTTAAATTTCACTCCATCTCCCCATGGTACATATAATCAAATGAGAGACATTGCAAAGAAAAGAAATGTTATAGACTCTATGCTAATAACTAAACTAGCTAGCATTTTTAATCCACGGTCCGGTATTAATCCATGGTCCGGTGTCTAGTTTGTTTAATAATTTAATGAAAATGTAAAAACGAAAATGTTACTCTGTATTTGGTGAGGTTTGAAAAAATAATTTTTCTTTGTCTTTCATTCGATATGCTACCAAAAATGGAGTGAACTTGAAAATGGGACAAAGTCTGTTAATTACGAACATTTTAAACACTGATAATCAAACTAGAGTGGCATATAAACATAAAGTGCTTCGTCTACAATCTGGAGTTTATCTGAAGAATATTTATAGACAAATTCTAAAAATTTTATATTCTTGCTTCACAAATAAATTTTCCTTAACAATGTATCCAAATACTGTCCAAGAATTTTTTATAAAAATTATGTTACGTTTAGGAAACTATCCAAAATTTTAAAATATTATTTCAAATGTTGTGGAGCAATCGGTTATAATTTGAACTAAAATATTATTTTTATTTTATTTTTAATTTCATAACTATTTCTACTAAATTTGTAAAATTTATCACATAACCTGCATAAACTCATTCTGGGAAGAATATATTTTAATATTTCAAGTATTTTAATATTTTATAATTTAACTAATCCTACCGTAAACTGAATATTTAAACATTGATTTTAAATACCCTTCATTATTAATTATTTCGTATTCTCGATTAAATTAAATAAAAAAATTTAATTTAAGAAAATATATTTAAATTATAATTTTTACTATTATAATTTAAATTTTTTATCACATAAACTGCATAAACTCATTCTGGGGAAAAAATCCTTTTCTATATCCTAAGGCAACGGCGGAATATTTTGTGAGTATTAACTCCTCGTTTTCGAATTCTATGAGAAGTTAAAATGCTTGACACTTTAATCAAAAACAAAAGAATCCTTGTCTATAATAGAAAAAAAATAATTTGCCTGAAATCCCGTGGAACCTGAATTTCTAAGTGGAAAAAATATAAACTATTATAAAATGACAGAATGTCGAAAAGAAAAATAATTTTTAATTATTTAAAAAATTTTAATTATTTAAAAAATTTAATTATTTAAAAAAATACATTGATTTTAAATACCCTTCATTTTTATAATAATTAAAAACATGTTCTAAAATATATCTCTGATTTAAAACGACCAATTTAACTTAGGGAAACTAAAATAGGTAAATGACATTTTTAATTAAAAACGAGTTTTGAATGTTGCACTTTATACTTGAAAATAATCTTAAATTAAACAGAAATATAAGGAAATATTATAATTAAAAAACATGTTTTAAAATATTTTTTGTAATCTTGATAAATAATTTCAAAAGATTTAAAGTATATAGAGAGAGAAATATGAAAATATGTTTAAATAATGTCCAAATATAGAGAGAATGAAAATTGGTTTTGGTGCCATTCTACCTTATATTCTTGGATAATTACTCGTCTATTAAGAAGTTGGGCTGTGGAACTTGGAATTACTTAGGATAGGTAATTATTGAATAAATATGGTTCATATCAGTATTATAGAATGACAATATCGGTATAAATTAGCACCAATAAGAAAAAATACAAGAAAAAATAAAAAAAAGCAAATTAAATGTACATGATGTTAATGGTTTTGAGGTTCTAGGTATTTAATTTGAATTAGTTAAAAACTAATGTGTTTACATAAATCGGATGATAAACATTAGATAAAATTTTCGATTTGTCAATACCAAATACCACAAAATTTTTTAAAATTTAAACACACAAAACCATTTTATCGTAAATACTCCAATAAATAGATATCCAATAATTAAAATTTCGACATTTTTGAACATTTATGCGTTTAGATTTACGTAATTTTTAAGAAGAATTTAAGAATCAATAACCCTAATCAACCTTTTAATATTAGAGTAATTACGAAAAGTGCAACAAACATTTTCTTTTTCGATCTGACTAGAAACTAAATTGGGGGAATTGAAGTGC